ATCCGGCGAGGCAGGCCCTCGCCCGGAGGAAGGCGACGCCTGGCGAGGCCGGCCATGGCCGATAGCTGGCCTCCGGCCACAGGCCATGGTAGAAGAAAGAAAAGAAAAAAAAGAAAAGAAAGGAAAAATGAAAGAAAAGGAAAAAAAAAGAAATGCCACATCAGCCTCCGGCGAGCCACATCAGCTTGAGAAATTAATAAAAAAAATGCCACGTCGGATTTCCGGCGATGTGGCACTTAAGTGATCGTTTTTCACAACTTTTGGCACTTAAATGATCCGTTTGAAACTTTTGGCACCAAAGTGAGCTCCGTACACAACTTTTGGCACTTCTGTTGTTCTTCCCCCAGTCAAAATGTAATCAAATTCTCTCTTTGTTTGTACCATCTACTATATCGGTTAATTTCTGGTTAATTAGAGCAACGAGATATTTGGCTAAACGAGATATTCGACCAGTTAATAGCCAACTGTTCTAAAAAGAACATGCTTAATCTGGTCTTTTTGGCTAATACGAAGCATGGACATATTTAATTGGGGAAACAAATGAGACCTAAAAAAATTTGAACTTAGGGCCTCCAACTCTGATACCATGTGAAATTTTGTGGGATCACAGCCAACTGTTTTAAAAGTTTAAGTTGTTAGATCAATGCGTGGTTTAATATTTAAATATTCTAACACATATTGATGTGAAAAAAGGGCAAGAAGCCATACATTCACAAGGAACTGAACAGAGAGAGAATGGTAACCTTGTTCAAGTTCTTTCTCTGCATGCTAGAGAGTAACAAGAGACTCAATTAGAGGAGACATAAGGATATAATAAGTGCCAAAAGTTTCGTACGGCGTTTACTTTAGTGCCAAAAGTTTTTTACGAATCACTCAAGTCAAGCTACCCGCGAATCATTTGGCTCGATTTAATGATTACTCGAGTGCAATCAAGGTCGAACTCGAGCTATTCTAGCATGTCATTCGAGCTTTTCAACATCAAGCTTAAAGCTTGTGCTTGAGTTCCTATACAAATTGATTGTAATCAAGTTGAGTCGAATCGAACTCGAATATCTTACATTATTCTAGTCGAGCCGAATTCAAATGTATACTTTAATACTCGATCGAACTCGAGTTGAGCTTTGAGTATGCAGTATAAAAAAGAATTTTCAGGAGTTCATGACACTCGAACATCGATACCGTTGCAAAGACCCCAAAGTGTGGGACAGTAGAAATTTTTTACCTCACATGAAATACTGAAAATTTGTTGGATTAGGATTTGTTTTTTTAATTTCTTGATATTTTTTAATTAAAGAGAGATTGTTATTAATTTTCAATTATATCCAAAAAAAATTTAAAAAAATAAAGAGTGGAAGAGAAGATAATAATATCCGAACGTGGAAGGATGAAATGGGCCATATGGGGGTGTGGCCCACGTCAAACCCACGACACGAGCCACTTGACCCACTGGCCCACTAATCCTTGGGTGAAGCTGCTATGAAATTACTCTCCGTGTCTACTCTATCTTGAGCTGGATCTCTCTCATCTTCCTAGTTTTTCTTTTCTTTTGTTTCCATATTTTTTTGCTCCTTGAAAAAAAAAACTTCCTTTGTCCACTATGCTCTAGGACCATTTTCCTATATACTATGAATCCATGTAACTAGAATATATATATAAATCCCGACCCGATCCCTAAAACTTGATCTGATCCAATCGATGCGCCTCAACCCAAGTTGGCGATAAAAGTCATCGTATCCGACTCGATTTATATCAGAAATAACCCGGACACAAAGGATCTAAATCATTCGGCCTGAGCCCGGCCCTACTCGAAAATGAAGAAAGACGAATCCAAACCCAATGTGGGCCAAGCCCATGCAAACCCAAACCCGGCTCAAACCCGAAAACGAAGAGAATCGAATCTGAACCCAACATGGCCCGAACCCATGCAAGCCCAAAAGCTAAACCAAAATTTTTGCAATCAAAGTGGCTCGTATGCAAACATGGATCGAAATTAAATTTGATCCCATCGAAATCGATCCGACCCATCCGTTGATGTCTTCACCGATGTCAAAACTAAAATAAACTTATATCTTAACTATCTGAAACTCGAGAGAATCCAAGACTAGTAATGATCCGAACCGCATCAGGATAGTGGGCAAATCGAAACAGATCGACCCTGAAATGGTCTAGATTCGACCAAACCCCGCGCTCAAAATTTTTAAAGAAAATGACATGTATCCTATATGAGCGGAGATTGAATTAACCGGACCAAAGCTGATCGGACCTATCCTTTGCCAAAAGCTAGTTAGGATGCACCACGTCTGGTGTGCACAAGGCACAGACACTAGGGATAATGATATAAATGAAAAGAACCAATTATTGAGTTGCCTTTTAACAAAGCACAATCCATAGCCAGCAAGCATGATACAACGCTCAACCATCAAACACCCAATAAGAAACCATTATCTATATAGATAAAGTGAGTAGCATACACATATGAGTGCAATACATTATAATATCAAAAAAAGTTGGCATAATTTAAAAAAGAAAAAAAAAAGCACAAACTTTACCTTGAGTGACAATTCTGGCATGAACTTTTTTTTGTTTCATAAAAAATCACAAACTTTCACTTGAATTCCAAATTTGGCCTGAACAGTTTGAAAATTTTACATCACGGGAGCAAAATTTGGGACTCGAGTAAAAGTTGGTGCTTTACAAAAAAAGGTTCGGGTCAAAATTATCGCTTAAGGTAAAGTTGGTGCTTTTTTTTTAGATTAGCCCTAAAAAAGTTAGTCAATGCAACATAAATGAGCTGCCTCTACATTTGGAGCTATGGGAGTCTAATATTCATGCACCATCCCATACATGTGGCTTTGAAGGACAATGTATCGAGCGCATATGGCCCAATGATGCTTCATTAAATAACATTAAATCCCAATTATTCATGCACTATCAGAAGACGTCGGCAAAAAGGTGATCCCCAAGCTCCAAATTCATGCATTATTCTCTCGAGATAACATTCTTTAATTTTGATGTGTTAAGTCTCTTACCTCATTATGGTTCATCGAACATTCAAATTGAAGAGCAATTAGAGGAAAAATCATCGGATTTAACAATTTCCAAGAGCGAAGTTTGAAAAACACGCAATCGCGCATCTATGTTAGAATTTAAACGAAAAGGTAGCGATAAGAATGTTACATGCTTTTTTTTTAGGATTAATATCACGAAAAATCCAAAACTAAAACGCTTGTGACAAATTTACCAAAAACTAATTTTTTTATCATGAAAAAATCTTAAACTTGTGCATCTGTGACAATTTTATCCTATGTTAATTTCCGTTAAATTTTATCGTCAAATTTCTGAGTTGGATGACACATGGCAGTTGACGGGTGTATTAATTTGGGGTTTTACCCTCTAGCTATCACAGGTGTACCATTTTATGATTTTTCATAATATTAATTCAATTTAATGGAGAGTAAATTTGTTACAAATGTAGCAGTTTGAGGTTTTTGATGGTCAAAAAATTAATTTATGGTAAATCAGTCACAGGTGTATTAGTTTGGGGTTTTTTATTGTCAAAAAATTAGTTTTTGGTAAATTTGTCACATGTGTACCAGTTCGGGATTTTTCGGGATATTAACCTCTTCTTCTTTTTTATCTATTTTGATGAGCTAAGTTTATCTACTATTATAAGAACATGAGCTATATTGATAAAATATCACGTCATTACCCAAATGAAAGATGAACCTATGTAGGTATCATGTTCAATTAAATATAAATATATTTTAGCACACATGTCAAGGAGGTCTAATTATAGTTAAGCTTCAATTCTCCCCCACTTTTCTTTTTCCCCGTAGGGTGTAAAGGCAATTACTTAGGCAAAAGTGAATGTTGTGCATGCTGTTTGGGAGACAATCTTATGATTGTGGGTCTTCTTAGATGGCCCAGAGAATTAAGGCATAAAACCTTAGAGGCTTAGACTTTGACCTGTCTGTCCTTTCATCACAATTTTGCTTAAGAATGAAATGACCCCATTTCTAAATCTATGTCCCTTTTAATCTTTTTCTATCATAGAATGGACATTTCCTTAAAATGGTTATAGATGAAAGGGGAATGTCTTAAAAAGAACTGGTTAATTTTCTTTTTCTTGTAAGAATGTAAAAAAAAAAAAAGCGAAAGTTTATATTCATTCACTTGTTGGTGCGTATTTCGTTTAGTTCATTTAAATGGAGAGTCGGCACTTTATCTAAAGAAAACATAGTGAATTATTCTCAGGCAATTAAAGGGGAATTAAAGAAAACATTCTAGATTGTACTTACTAATGCATTTTATCTAAAGAAAACATTCTAGACTGCACCCACTAATGCAAAACATTAGGGATCTAATAGCACTAGGTGATGTGAATAATGATCAATAATGGTCAAATAATGTAAGATGGGAGCAAAAATTTGGTACGTTTGGAATGCTAATGTCGAACATTACATGTCTTAAAGCTGAAAGCTAAACATGAATAATGATTGATAATGTTCAAATAATATGAATAATTATTGGAAAAAAAATGGTATCTTTGGGAGGTCTTGCATGTAAGGTATCTTTTCCTTAGGGTCTACCAAGAAAGAAAGAAAAAAAAAATTGAGGGGCATCAATAATTATTGCAGTTCAGTCCCCCAGTTGGACCGGTCTTGGTCCAATTTCCAGAGCAACTTAGTTTCAAACCCCATGTCAGATAAGTACACATACTGAGAAAAATCCAGACAAGCCTCAAACCCACAAAAGAAAAAAGGACAGATAAAAATTATAATGGTTAAAAAAAGCAAGAGAGAGGTTCAATTTGTGCAGGAAAGATGTAGTTTGAATGAGCAATGCACAAGGGGACATGGCTCTATGTCATTGTTTTTGCCGTCTCCAATGCCATTTTCTCTTAGTTCTGCTCTGACCAATCTTTGGCTTCCGTGAGGAGTAAGAACCCCGGGATAGATTCATAATTTGCAATAAAGAAAGAGATTAGTGTGGACAACACATAAAACAAAAAGAAATTACCACAGCCCAAGAAAAATTATTAAACTAAGCATATAGAATATTGCACCCATTCAACTCACTTGTGCTTGAGCCACCCTGCAAACTCCTTTTGAAGCACTTCTTGTGGGTCTCTCTCTTTTTAAAAAAAAAATTGTTCAAAGCCTCTCAGATCCAACCCATACATCAGATTCCCTCCCTGTACATCTTGTTTATTCAAATCAAAATCCAGGGAGAGAGGGGGCGAGAGAGAGAGAGAGAGAGAGAGATGATTTGATACTTTCTTGTTTGCCTGAGAAGTGAAACAAGTTGAGAGGTCAGTTCTAATCATTTCCCAACTGTATCTTGGGCACCCATTTTGTCTTGTTTTATTGATGTGATGAACTTACTCATGATCTGTCAACGCAAACCTTTATCTTTCCTTTGTTTGCAATGATTGTTTGGATTCAAAGAAAGTAACTTTTGATCCTCCCCTTTCTTTAACTCTCAGCATTATTTTAGGAGAAGTGATTTTAAATGCCATCGATTGATTGTGTTCCAGAGCAAAAGCTTGTTGGTGAACGTTTCCCTTTCTTCATGTTATATCCTACGACTGAAGCTGATGACGCTTGGTCAAAAACCTGTTCCCAGGTGCTGAGGCAAACAGTTTGCGCTAGTGACTTGCCGCTAGTCTGAAAGAGACAAGGCCCCACATCGAGAGGTGGAAGATCACATGCAGTTGCAGATGAATGACTCCTGCTTTGAATGCCACTGTTGCATTACATCTTCTTGTGCCAGTCTCTTGCTTTCAGCCACTCAAATTGCATCTGTCAGTATAAGATGTTAGAAAGAATCCTCAGAACAGGCCCAGTTTCTCCCTGGAAAAAGGCCCTGTGAATGCGATACCTCTAGAAAGAAGAAAGCTTTCTCAACTTCAGAGCCTGCGAGAGCATTCAAAAGTGCATTTTGTGAGGTGGGTAATGTTTCTTAGAAGAAGATTAGTGCAGATCCTTAAGAGGTAGTGAAGTGAAGATTCATTTGATATTTGAGGATGGAGTTGGATGATAAACCAGCCAAACCCTCCTCCAGTCTGTTCAAGGATGCTCTAGCACATGGGGTTTCAGTTTCAGCCACATCAAAAGACAATGTAATCAACACAGGCCTCACCATCAAGATTGCTAATGCCAGCAAAAACTCCGGTAAGGACATTTTGGCACCAATTGGCTCTAAAGTAGAAGAATCACTATGTGTAAACATAAAGAGATCCATTGAATCATCCCCGTATAATTCCCCTTCCCTTGTGTCCCCACCCTCATCAGCGTTTGTCTCAGCCTTGCAATCCCCATACATATCTCCAAGGGCCTTAACACCACCACCCACAGATAATTCCGCCCCACCGAAGGACCCGGCTCCTCCGGCACATCCATCTCCGCCAGCATCGTTCCGCGGCACCGGGTCGCAGTCAGATGACATCCCGAGCAGCTCCTACACTCCCCCATCTGACCAATACGAATTTTCCGATGACCCGTATGATCCTAAGCTCAAATTCGTCACCTGCCTCTCTGTCCCGGACCCGGCGCCGCCCCGAGTCTCGTTCTCCTTCCCGGTCCCTCGGATTTCCTTTGGCAAAGGGGCACTTTCTCCGGCTGCCAATGCCAAGCTGAGGAGCTGTGATGTGTTCATAGGTTTCCATGGGCAGAACCCGAATCTGGTGAGGTTTTGCAAGTGGCTCAAGTCAGAGCTTGAGCTACAGGGAATTGCATGTTTTGTGGCCGATAGAGCAAAGTACTCAGATGGTCAGAGTCATGAGATTGCAGATAGGGTGATTTGCTCAGTGACATTTGGAATAGTGGTTGTTACCAGTTCCAGCTTTATGAATCCTCTTAGCTTGGAGGAGATCAGATTTTTCGCTCAAAAGAAGAACTTGGTTCCATTGTTCTTTGACACGGGCCCTGCTGAGGTCACAGGCCTACTCAATTCTAACACCACTGATAAAGAATGCAGAGAAGCCATTGATGGACTAATCAAGTGCCATGAGTTCAAGCTAGAAGCAAATGAAGGCAATTGGAGAAGCTGCATAGCAAGGGCCGGCGGGATTTTGAGAGCGAAACTCGGGCGCACAAGTGTGGCCGAGAGGGATGTTGAATCATTTGAGGAAATACCCTTCCCAAGAAACAGATATTTCGTCGGAAGAGAGAGAGAAGTCACGGAGATTGAGAACGCATTATTTGGATCTGGGGATTGTTTCGAGCAAGACTACGCGATGCCCATTACTAAAGGAGAAGCGAGTGGGCAATCTGAAGGGCTTGCAGATGAGGAGAGTGAAACGACTACGACAAAAGGAGGAAGATTCATCAGTCTAGATGTGGGAAAGTGCAAAGAACCAAAACTGGAGGCTTGGGTAGAGCCAGTTTTGGGAAGGAACTCTCTGAAGAGATTGAAGTACAAGAAGTCGAAGAGCGGGAGCTACAAAGGCTTAGGCAGCGGTGTGGTCTGCCTCAATGGCGTTCCTGGCATTGGGAAGACAGAGCTTGCTTTAGAATTTGCTTACAGGTACTCTCAAAGATATAAAATGGTGCTGTGGGTGGGTGGAGAGGCTCGATATTTCAGGCAAAATATCTTGAATCTGTCGCTCAATTTGGGCTTAGATGTGAGCGCTGATGCCGAAAAGGAAAGAGGACGTATCCGAAGCTTTGAGGAGCAAGAATTTGAAGCGTTCAAAAGAGTTAAAAGAGAGTTGTTCCGTGACATGCCTTACTTGCTAATCATTGACAATCTGGAAACTGAGAGGGAATGGTGGGAAGGTAAAGATTTGCACGACTTGATTCCAAGAAACACCGGGGGATCCCACGTGATCATAACGACACGGCTACCCAAAATAATGAACTTCGATTTGATACAGATTCCACCTCTGCCTTTGTCTGATGCGATGATCCTAATGAGAGGGAGAAGGAAGAGAGACTATCCAGCTCAAGAGCTCGAGGTTCTGCGGAAGTTTGATGAGAAGCTAGGGAGGTTGAGTTATGGTATGTGGATTATCGGATCATTACTCTCTGAACTTGCCATTTCCCCATCTGCGCTCTTTGAAGCAGTGAACCAAGTCCCGCTCGATGGCTCTTCTAGTAACACTTCCTATGTAAGCCTTAGCGATGAACAATTCTACAAAAACAATCCCTTCCTTGTCAAAGTATTGTTCTTTTGCTTCAATATCTTAGAGCAAACCAGTGTGAGGAGGAACCTTATGGCGTCAAAAATGCTACTTGTTGGTGCTTGGTTTGCCCCGGCACCAATCTCAGTGAGTCTGCTCGCCTCAGCTGCTAAGAGTATGCCAGCCAGTGGAAACCAGTTGAATTGGACCAAGTTTTTCGGTTTGAGCTGCTGCTTAGCACCCAAAACCTGGAAAAGCGAGGAAGATTCAGCTGTCCTTCTAGTCAAACTTGGGCTGGCGAGAACAGCTAATAGGCAACCGGGGTATTGGATCCAGTTGGACCCCGTAACTCAACTACTTGCACGAAGAAGAGATGGTTTGCTTGCCGCCAAAGCAACAGTCCATGGCGTGAGAAAATTCGGCAACCCGGTTCTGAACTCAGATCACCTCTGGTCTTGTGCATTCCTAGTCTTTGGGTTCAAGTCTGAGCCCCCTCTAGTCCAACTCAAGGCAATTGACATGGTTCTGTTCATCAAAAAGACGGCCTTGCCCCTGGCAATCAGGGCATTCACTACCTTCTCGAGATGCAACTCGGCGTTGGAGCTCCTAAAAGTGTGTACGAACGTGCTTGAGGAAGTGGAGAAGTCATTCGTGTCCCAAATACAGGACTGGTGCCACGGCTCACTCTGTTGGAAGAAGTCTTTGAACCCGGGAAGCCAAAGGGTAGACGAGTACGTGTGGCAGGACGTGACGCTTTTGAAAGCCACGCTTTTGGAGACCAGAGCCAAATTGCTGCTGAGGGGCGGTCACTTCGACAGCGGTGAAGAGCTGTGTAGGACTTGCATTAGTATTAGGACAGTGATGCTCGGGCATAACCATGCCCTGACCCTGGCTGCTCAAGAGACATTGGCCAAGCTAGTGAGGATGAGAAGCAAGATCTGATGCTCGCTCTAAACGAAAAAAAAGAGCTATGTTCATGGTCGGCTGAGCTCAGTTTTGTTGTGAAAAACACTGTAACCACGTTAGTTTAGATGCAAGATCATCAAGAGTCCTCACTAACACCTCCACCGTTGTTACACATTTCTTTCACATTGACAGGAATAGTAGTTTTTCGTTCATATATTCTCCTGCATTCCTTTTCTTAGGAAACAGATAAAATCATGAGAGAGAGAGAGACTAAGAGCACACAAAGCTTATCGGAACAATGTACCACCTCAAGCGTCTCCGACATAGTTGTCTCACACACGCCGACGCGTATTTTAGCTGATCGGACTCCATCTTCCCCATTTTTCCCCGATTTTCAGCGGACGAGATGGCAGAAATCTGAAACTAACATATGCAGATGTTCATGTTCCATTGTTATCTGCAAGGTCCACGCTGCTGATTAAATGATCTGCCCATAGGCAACAACCACAACAGCAGAGGTGAGACATGAATGGGAACATTACATTTCACATCACACAAGTCAAGTGTTTTTGCTTTCTCACGAATCAAACCACAACTCAATCTTGATGCAGCAGTCAAAAAACTCACAAGTCCTCAAAATTTTACCAACACAACAATCTCTCACTCCCACGACCATTTCAGAAAAACAAGAATCTATCTTCTTCCTAGCGTGACATCACAAAATCCAAATGAGGAAAAAACCCACTGAAATTTACAAACTAAAAGTCAAGTCAAACCCTTCTTAGAGGGAACAAACAACCCTTCAAATCCAATAGTATTGGACTCAAACCAACCTCAAAACTTCTGGTTTGTGCCTATCACACCACAAACAAACAAACCCAAGCAAGACACCGACCCCACTCCCAAGTCAAGACTCGCAGGAATCGATCACCCTCGACAATTTTCACACGATCAATCAATCCCCAAGAACATCTCCGCGATCCACGCTGTACCCGAACCCGGGTGCGGGCGCGAACCCGACCCGCGACCCGATCAGGCCCTGAGAAGCCGCTTCGTCCTCGTCAAGAAACAGCCCGTCGGGGTTCCTCAGCACCCCGTGGACCCCGCAGAGCAACGACCCGGCTCCGATCCCGATCACCAGATTCTCCACACGACCCACGAACCAAATCGCCGACAGCGACACCAGGACGAGAGCACAGAGCACCAACCGGTCGTTCAGCTGGTGGCCCGAGACCATCAACGGGTCTTCCCTGAAGAAGTGGAAGATCAGCCAGAGGGCGAGCACGGAGGCGAAGACGATCAGAGAGAAAGGGGCTCCGAGCAGGGACACGAGGGCGCACGCGGCGATCGCGACGACGTAGTTGACGCGGAAGTAGGCGGAGTTCTTGCGGATCCGGGCCAGGGCGGCGGACGCGGACCCGGGCCGGTCGAACGAGCCGGCGGCGACGAACTCGGGCCAGGGGCGGTGGCGGGAGACGGCGGCGGAGAAGTTGTGGACGGACCGGGAGATGACGTCGGAGATGGAGATGGGTATGGTGGTGTAGGTGGCGCCGCCGGGGGCGGAGGCGGCGGGCTTGGGGTGGGTTGCGGCTGGGGGTTGCATCGTGGAACGGTTGGTGGGGCTTGTCCTGACGGGTTTGACCTCAACGACCGTTCAAACTGTCCAAGCCTCTCTTCTCTGTGAGATACGAAAGACTGCTTTTTTATTGTGGTCAAACATAATCAAGAAAAGGTTAAATAACGGTTTAGAAAAATTATTGCTTCAATTGAGATCACTATTGAAAGGAGCACCATGATATATAAACATATAGATTTCGATATTCTTTTTCTAAGATTATTGGAAAATTTTGACCCTCCATTGCGACATGTAAAAACTATACTTTGATCGGTGTGCGGGGTGGGTCGATATCGAGCCTTGAAACCTTTGATCTGATCGCGCCACATTTCCCTCTCGTGAGTCTCGAGGCGCCACCGCGTGAACACTTTCATTCGCTTGCCATCACAGCCATGTCATTGCCTCGTTCCCCTAAGCCCTTATGTACATGTACTATTTTTCATGAGTTGGTGCCAAATGTGCGCATAGCTCGTCCTATCTCCGTTGATGGAGAGGCAAGGGGATATTAGTCTACACGTTTTCAGGACTGAAAATGCAATTGTACCAGATCAACCAAGGAAAAACTAAGCAGAACATTTAAATGGCTCAAAACACCACCTGCTATAACGTGCTCAAGTAACTATGTACTGTATTTGGACAGCACTATGGCGACTTCAACTTTTGATTATGTAGAGTTGTCCATCGGAGAAAGAAGAATATCAGGTGTAATGGCATTAATTTCGACTTTGATGTTGAATTCATTGCAGCACACTAGAATTATTTACAAAGATCTGGATGTGCACCAGAATTACATCCCACATTGCCTTTCTCTGACCCTTCAAACACAACCTAAAACCGACAATAGGCATCATCAGACTAAACATTGATAAATTTGCAACCGTCATATACCAAGTAAAGTCCTGATCATATTTGACAACCAAAGTGTATCAAAATGCCTTCTCAAGCTCACCTTCAGTACAAATGAGAAGAGACTTGACAAGACTCTCACAACAAACTGAGTAATCGGTACTCAGGTGCACCTTTACTTTCTTCTCCGTTATTAACCATCGGGAAAGAAGTAAATAATACAATGATGACATACACATACAGAGAAAACTCCATGCTTAGACTTTTGTTCGGCTTTTCTTTTCCTCAATTCCGGACCGAGAGAACCTGTGTCGAAGAATTTCCAAAACTTCTTCCATTTTCACGTCTCTGACAGCCAGAAGAACCATGGAATGATAAAGCACATCTGCCATCTCTGATGCGGTGCGTGCCTTATCTTCATTCTCTTCAAGCGTTTGACACAACTCATCCGCCTCTTCCCTGGAAATGAAGCTTACGTCTTAGGAACAACTATTTGACCCATAATGTTAACTGCTGCAATTTCCAGATTAATTCACCATTGGACGTTCATTCTCTCTTTCACCTACTTTATCTAACAGAAAATATAAGGTCCATAAAAATTACAGGTGCAGGACAAGCTACAGAAATAAAAAGCGAGTAGGTGAAACTGTTGGCTTTCAGAACTTTAATCGACCACTTTACCTGTCTTTCTCAAGAAAGAAAGAATTTTAAATAACAGAACTTCAGGACAGCATAAGATTCTCGTTATTTTCACCACAATACCTGACTTTTGAGCACAGCAACTTATTATCAAGTAATAAGCGTTTCGTCCAGGAGGGCTTCCCATCTTGTGATTCTGCCAATTCAGCTTTTCGTCTTGAGATAGTAGACTCTAATGAGTACAACGTAGACAAAGCCAGTTCATCTCTTGTGACCTAGCACCATTTAATTTATTCTCATTAGATTTCAGGACCCAGTACCATTGATTAATAGATTCACAAACGTAGAGCGCCGCAAACCTGGGATGGTTCCAGTATGTCCTCTATTGATGAGAAATAGCATGTCTCAGACCCAGTGTGGCAAGTGGGTCCATCAGGTTTCCCAAGATATATTATCTGGAAAAGAAAAATAAATGCTTGCTTGAACTAGATCAAACAAGATAAAAGGGCAAGGTGAGAGAAATAACCAACAACTTTGAACTTACAGAGTCCCGATCACAGTCGAGAAAGACATCAGATATATTGATGAAGTTGCTAGAGGTTTCTCCCTTTGTCCAGAGACTTGATCTGGACCGGCTGTAAAATGTAGCCTTACGAGAGGAGATAGTTGCAGCTAATGCATCTCTGTTCACAAATCCTTGCATCAAGATGGCTCCGGTGTCTACATTTTGAGCTATTGCCACAGCCAAACCTTTATCATCCCATTTTACACTGTCTAACAGTGTGTCCACCTACAAGAATCTATTAAATTTTCATTCACAAATTACAACTCACTTGATGTGCAAGACTCATAGCAGATAAAGCAAAAGAAACTGCAAGAAAACAGGATATAGATGTTAAATTAATATCCCATCACACGTGTATCAATGAAAATAGCAATTCCCAACATAAAAACTATTCAAAGCAGATTCATGTGTAACTTTCCCCAAACAGACTGTACATATACATATGTTTTGATCCACATCAGACGACAATGTATCCAAACAATACATTTTCACAAATACTTCGCTTGGGTGACAAAAGCGAACAATATGGAGTCCAGATGTAGCTCGAAGACAACTGAATCAAATATCATCATGCAACGATAAACACCTCCGAGAGAGATTAACAAGACAAGTGAGAAACCCACCCATTGGGTTATCTTCTCCGTCTTTTCTTTTCCAGACAAGTAACGACATCTACCAACTAAGAATGGTAGTCATCTGACTAAGTCTGGGTGCCACATTCTGAGCAATTGCCACAGCCAAACCTTTATCATCCCATTTTACACAGATTCCCATTTTACACAGTCTAATAGTGTGTCGACCTACAAGAATCTAATAAATTTCATTCGCAAATTTCAAACTCACCTGATGTACAAGACTTATAGCAGACAAAGTAAAAGAAAATACAAGATAACAGGATATAGATGTTAAATGAATATCCCAGAAATACTGTATCAATGAAAATAATCAATATAGCCAACTTAACGGTCGACCTACTAGAAGCCAATTCATGTGTAACTTTCCTTAAACGGATATGCAGCATAGATCTGCACATATACATATGTTTTGATCCACATCAGAACATGATGTATCCAAACCTACATTCTCACACTTGTTTCACCTGAGGTGAAACAAGTGAACAATATGAAGTCCAGATGTAGCTCGAAGATAGCTGAAGCAAACATCATCGGGCAACGATGAACACCTTCGAGAGAGATAACGAAACAGGTGGGAAACCCACCCGTTGGGTTATCTTCTCCGTCTTTTCTTTTCCAGACAAGTAACGACATCTACCAACTAAGAATGATAGTCATCTGACCAAGTCTGGGTACCACATTCTGAGCTATCGCCACAGCCAAACCTTTATCATCCCATTTTACACAGTCTAACAGTGCGTCGACCTAAAAGAATCTAATAAATTTTCATTCGCAAATTTCAACTCACTTGATGTACAAGACTTATGGCAGATAAAGCAAAAGAAAATACAAGATAACAGGATATAGATGTTAAATGGATATCCCAGAAATAATGTATCAATGAAAATAATCAATATAGCCAACTGAACAGTCGACCTACCAGAAACCGATTCATGTGTAACTTTCCATAAACGGATATGCAGCATAGATCAGCACATATACATATGTTTTGATCCACATCAGAACACAATGTATCCAAACCTACATTCTCACACTTATTTCACTAGTGGTGAAACAAGTGAACCATATGAAGTCCAGATGTAGCTCGAAGATAACTGAAGCAAACATCATCGGGCAACGATGAACACCTTCAAGAGAGATAACGAGACAGGTGAGAAACCCACCCGTCGGGTTATCTTCTCCGTCTTTTCTTTTCCAGACAAGTAACGACATCTACCAACTAAGAATGATAGTCATCTGACTAAGTCTGGGGACCACATTCTGAGCTATCGCCACAGCCAAACCTTTATCATCCCATTTTACACAGATTCCCATTTTCCACAGTCTAACAGCGCGTCGACCTACAAGAATCTAATAAATTTTCATTTGCAAATTTCAACTCACTTGATGTACAAGACTTATAGAAGACAAAGCAAAAGAAAATACAAGATAACAGGACATAGATGTTAAATGGATATCCCAGAAATAATGTATCAATGAAAATAATCAACATAGCCAACTTAACAGTCGACCTACAAGAAGCCGATTCATGTGTAACTTTCCTTAAACGGATATGCAGCATAGATCTGCACATATACATATGTTTTGATCCACATCAGAACACAATGTATCCAGACCTACATTCTCACACTTATTTCACTGGGGGTGAAACAATTGAACAATATGAAGTCCAGATGTAGCTCGAAGATAACTGAAGCAAATATCATCGGGCAACGATGAACACCTTCAAGAGAGATTAACGAGACAGGTGAGAAACCCACCCGTCCGGTTATCTTCTCCGTCTTTTCTTTTCCAGACAAGTAACGACATCTACCAACTAAGAATGGTAGTCATCTGACTAAGTCTGGGTGCCACATGCCTCACATACAAAATGACTAAACCCCACAATCACACAAAACCCAAAAAAAAAAAAAAAACTCATCAGCATGAGTATAATCACATAAAGTACTGAAATTGCGAATTGCTTTCAAACACAACACTGAAATGAAGAAGATCCACAACCCAAAAACATGTTAATTACCAAGATTTAGGCTACATATACCAAACCAAAAGAAATAACATTCAAGAAGCCATGCATGCCAAAGCAGAACCATTTACACAGCCACTGTCACTAATCAACATTGAGGCAATGAACTATATCCCACAAAGAGAGATACAACGACAGCTCATCACGGGATGCCGCATGTTCCATTCGAAACAGTCGAAGAAACATCGAGGCCGTAAACACCCAGATATTCGATATCATCACGAGAAGCTCCGACATTATATAATCCCGACGTAGTCGCAGTACCTTGCTCCGAAGAGAATGATCCTTCACCGACCCATCTGCGGAGGCGAACGCCACGTGGCGCCTCGTCCTTCTCCCGCCGGAGCAACCGCCGGAAGCTCTCAGGGCGGGAAGCCCCGCGGGTTGAAGACGGAGGGAAGACGAAACCACCATTTTTCACGAACCGGCAGAGAAAACGAGCAAACACCCACCTCACTACGGACCCAACATCGACCTGAAGAAGAAGGAACGAAGTGCTACGGAAGCGTCGATGGAGACACCGATGCGCGAACTGCACTGGCATGGAGCAAGAAAGAGATGGAAAGCTCTACTTAAAGCCGCCATTTTTAGGGTTTTCCTTGAAGGAAGGGCTTTTGAAGGCCCACTGAGGGAAAAATCAGGCTTTTGGCCCAAATATATTGATGATGACACAAATAATTTATAAATTTTGGAGCAACGTGCAATATTGACTCTAAACTTTTAATTTGTTTAATGTGTTATCTGAAATTTAGCCCAACGTGTAATTTGGTCCATGAACTTTCAATTTGTTCAAGGTGGTCCCTAAACGTTTGGTACATATTCAACTTAGTCTCCTAATTATATGAAAATGTTTAATATTGACCTTTCATTAATTCAAGCTCAAGGATAACATTGAAAATTTTCATATGGTTCATGGACTGAGTTGAGCATGTATCAAAAGTTTAAGGACTACATTGAACAAATTGAAAGTTCAGGGACCACATTGCATATTGGGCTACAGTTAAGAGACCACATTGAACAAATTATATATTTAGGAACCACATTGCTTATCAGGCCAAAGTTTATGGACTTTTTGTGTCGTTTTCCCTATATAATATATGTCATATTATTATGCTAAAAATCTATCTACTATTTCATTATATAAAGCAAGAGCACCTCCAACTTTTATGATTCTACGAATATTATATCCACGGACAAATGCGTAAACTAATAAACTTTACCTCATATCTCACATATTTTCAGTTGTAAATGTTGAATCTTTTCTATCTTTGCAGTGTGTAATTTTCGTCTTTGTATTTCTATCGATTTCTTTTGTTCGAATATTTCTTAACCGGGCAATTTTTTCTTCGTTTTCCCAATGTCCCTTACGCACTCCGAATTGCTAGTGTATCTATGCGTGCTATATCTGGAAACCAACTTTCAAATGTGTCCACTCTTCAAAAAATTAGATTATCCTTATTTTCGATATGGAATATTAAAGACCAAATTAAATATTTTTTTTATTGAAATTTATTATCTTTGAGCATTTACCTAATAAACAAATAAAACTCATACTTTCATGGAGCACATTATCACATTTGAATTTCATGTGTGTATCTATTCTCCTACTAGAAACAACTTACATCCATCTCCTCTCTACCATGCATGGAGCACATGCAAAGTATCTAGTATATACATTATTTATTTAATTCATAATATTAGAGGAAAAATGGAAGGCTACGTATCCCTAAAAATAGGAAACTTGAATGACAAAACCCTAACCAAATTGAAATCAATATATATTGCGATAGACTTGTATCTTGTAATTAATCCACTTTATTGGCAGTAATGAGTGTTGGAACTCTGATGATAAGCGTGCTCATATTAAAAGTATTGTCGGGATAAGTGACCTCATAAGAAAGTATGCCTATCTCTATGCTAAAAAATTAAATCGCGAGAATCGATATGTGACGGGTTAAAACGGACAAATCTCAAGTGAGTTAGATCAGAACGGCGCAAAATATTTATTAGCAGATCCACATTTTGTGCATGTCCCTTCCTTTTCTTAGCGTTTGTTTTTGTGACAATGATTTAATCGTGCGTGCCTGCTTGTTTGATTAGCCTAGAGCTTATTATAATGTTTGATGTGATGATATCTTATTTTTTCTTTTGTTTTTCTCTTGCAAGTATGAGCATTGGATGTGCCGCAAGTATCTCGACAAAGGACTGTGTTCCCTCTTATATTTCAAGTAATTAATCCACATACCGGTTCCATAGGCATGCCATGATCGACGAACGGGTTTCGCAGAATCATACCTCAAATCTCAATCGAGATCGCTCCGAACATAACATAGAGAAGGATAATTACATTGAATACATTTTCCGATGAGGGACAAGACATACAAAATGATAGGTTTATAATTGATGATCAGGTTAGCGATGTTAATTGTCATTGTCCTAACGAACAATAAAGATTAGGGAAAAAAATCCTGACTTTACCGCGAGCAATAAGGTTCAATGCATTCCTTTAGCGCTCTCCCTTGATGCTTAGTGGCTTGGCCTAATAACACCATGTCGTACATAAGGCGTGTCGAAGATGGACTTTCTATTCTAGTATCCCGAGCACAACGAATAGACTCGGGGTTGTAATTTTCGATGTGTCAATGTCATTGAGAAGTAAGTACAAAATGGGCCTAATGTAAAAATGCTACAAGGGAAAAATTCCTAAAAAAATAAAAAAATAATAAACTCTGGTTGTTTCGCAAAAAATGAATGATTTGAAAAATATTTTCTTAGAAATGATCGCTTACATTGCTTACAAAAATGAATGAACGAAACATATTTTTATGAAAATAAAAGAGTACAATAAACTATTATTGATAATGAAGATAAATCTATTCTTAACTTACGAACTAAAAGAGTAAATATGCAGTTAAGATTTCTATGATCGGAATTTGGATTCGAGCGGCAAAACTCTACTAATCTTCGTAACTCCCATGTTTAATCAGGGTTCTTCCCTAATTAAACCAGCATCATAACTCAAACATAATACGTCCAAGTTGATTTTGGATCGTTTGTTATGCCTACTTAACAATGGTGATGTATACTTATTCGAAAAAAACCCAGAAGGTTGTTGCAGATCGCCCCCCGACCTTTTGAAGTTTTGAAATCGATTGCAATGTCCCTCCTAATGTTGAATCCGGCCGTCCTTCATTTGGAGCTCTGGTCACACGCTTGTTACTTAACCATTTGGCTCGTCTTACAAAAGGCAAATCCCCGAAAAGGATTGCGTTTCGGCCTCCAAGTTACGGCACTTATCGTGAGTTGCTCCCTGACCTTTTAATTTTTTGCAATTTCCTCTCTAAGATCTCGAAATCGGTTGCAATGTCCCCTCAGCGTTGGCTCTGGCCACTTTTCGTAACAGGCCTACGCTTTAAGTCATTTTTACAAATCCATATCGTAGAAATAACTAGTCGAATGACGAAGTTGTGTATTGTGTTTCCATTGTGATCCCCGAATTTTGTCCAAACTTATAAATTAGTTATCATGAAATCAACCAAGATGTTTTATATCACTTGAAAAATGATCCTCTCAAGCTTGCAGCACAGGGTAAGACAAAAGGCAAATTAGAAATGCAGAGAAAAATCCTAACAGTACAAGACACGAAACAAATTGCACAATATGTTTAATAGCACAAACCAATTGTTTACTCTATAAGTCAATTGTTATGCTTGTTAAATAAAAATAAACATAATACAAGTATCAAATGCTGATGTGGCGTGACAATATACCAAATTTCATTATAAATGCCCAACCAATATAAATACTATTACGAGTTCTTGTGTGAGCAAAATATTTATAATTCAGAAGAAGCGATTTTACAGGTTCTATTACGCGGTGGCCATTTGTAGAGTCTACACTATTGCCACACCAATTTACCAAGCAAGGGGAAGACAATGCTTGCTTAGGTAGCTTAAGTCGATCTCCGGTGACGATTAGATAAAAAAAATTGGTCAAGATCAATGGTGAGTTGGGTTTGAAACTCATTTCATTACTCTAGAGGACACTAAAAGAAATTGAAAAGTTAGGGGGCAACTTGCCACGTGTGCCATAATTTGAGGGATAAAATGCAATTCACCATTTGTTGTTGGGCTAATTTACCCTCCTTGAGAGAGCAATTTAGTCACGTGACGAGCACATGAATGGAGCTCCGACTGCAAAATGATTTGAGTCAATGCCAAGGGGGGCATTACTACCAATTTCAAGACTTCAAGGGGGATATTGCAAAAATTGAAAAGTCAGGGGGCGCTTTGCATCAAATGCCAAAATCTCAGGTCAAGGGGACGGTTCGGGTTAGATCTTACCGGGCTTTAGGCCTCGTATGAATTTTTATATCAAGTTAATTATTATTATTTTAAGTCAGTTATTTCAAGTTAATTAGGTTGTCGGAACTTGCATGATCACGTTAAATTGGTATGAATGAATGATGCTTATTAAAAGAATGACAAATAAGAAATTCACAAATTATTTTTTTTTAAAAAATTGTAAAATCATCAAGAAAGTGAAATCGGTGATCTAATCTCAAATGGGCTGATAATAATGTGGCATTAGCTATTGAAGATCGAACTAAAACAAAAATGTCCGAAACATACAATGTTCTTTTTATGGATTATTATTAGTTGCACTGATCGTGTTAGAAATGATTTGCACATTTAATGCTGTAGGGCATACATGTTGAAGAATTCAGTTACAAATCGAATCTAAGTACACATGTCACTCATTTTAATAATAACGGTGCATACACATATATTTTTTTTACATTGACAATGGACTTAATAAAAAAAAAATTTTGCCACTCACATATAGATAGAAGTTAAAATTGCGCCGTCGCATTATTTGGCTATTGGCGTCCAGATTGAGATTTCCTTGTACTTTTTGTTTAATCTAAATTTCGCGGTGCACGCATTTCAAAATTTGAAAAACCCTGGGAATATTTTCAATATACAAATGTTGACACATAGACACTCGTACAACTTTTTGTAGTTTTTCAATTTTTAAATTTGGAAGAAAAAGTAAAAAAATAACCGTTTATATTTACTCGGGATAATGAAATTTCAAGTATCCAAACTTTTGTTCGATATGTAATCGAGTACCTAGATTTTGTTTTATTCAATAAAGTACACGAACCCTTTAAAATAGGCGAAATCTTGTCCTTTCAATAAAAAAATTAGAAGCGTTAGCGTCGCCGATCTTTTCATTAAGTAGCTGTTAATCATATACTTAGGATGCCAACGTGTCTGCTTAACATGATGCCGCGTCGATGGATACAAATGGACAGCCTAGACACTTCCACATCATCTCTTTCTCCAACCGACACGTGAGGACCACCTCTCGCAACCACCGTCGGCTGCCGTCCACCAGCCAAGCACCACCACCATCACCACCGCGAGTCGAGCAGAACCACCCCCAACCGGCGACCGCCATCGGAGTCAGCTACAACCGCCGCCCGTACCCGACCGCAACAACGGCCACCCACCACCAACTCAGCAACCTTCGAAACAATGGAGCCCAAACACCGACATACACGCACGCGCGCGAATGGCAGGTGCGTAATTACAACCAAATCGAAGGGCCAAAGGAGACCATGCCGTGTCCTTTTCGGAACACGATCGTCACTTCACTTTCGGATTGTTTTTTTAATCATCTTGCACATAAATTCATACGCAAGTGGGGGAAGCTGGCGTACAATAATTAATGATGTAAAAAAACAAAGTAAAAAAAAATTTAAATATTTCACATTTTCGAAAAAAAAAAGAGAAAAATTACGGTGCGCTGCTACTACTCGATGGCTTCTATGAAGTCCTTACCTTACTTGGAGGGATAAAATTGTCATTTTCATTTTATTATTATTATATATATTTTTATAAAATTTCTTGGACACGGAAATTTGCCATTATAAATAAATAATTGATTGAAGGGTTGAAAAAAGACAAAGGGTGTCCCACGCAGCAACAAATGGACAGCAGCAATTCAGTCTTTTCTAAGGAAGCAATCAACGTTGTCCAGCTTTCAACGTGCAAATCGCAAGCCCCTCCACCCGATTCTTTTTGACCCCCCGCCGAGATTTAAATAAAATATTGAAATAATTTATTGGGATTTATTATAAACAACCGCTTGTGCCGTGTCTCATCAGGCTAAAAGCAAAAAAAAAAACGCAATAAAGAAAAAAAGGGGGAATTTCTTTTTACCGTTTAAAAAATGGAAAGAAAAGGGCAGAAAAAAAAGAAAGAAAGGAGACGGACTCAGAGAGAATTCGGGAGTGCCCTTAGCAAAATAAGGTCTGCCGAGCCAAGGCCACCGGCCGTTTGGGGTCTTGTGACAGGATGATCTTCGAAGGCTCTACGCAATCTTTGGCGCGATCATTAGAAACACCAGAAGAATGATGCAGAGAAGAGAGAGAGAGAGAGAGAGAGATTTGAAACCTTTGGAGAGAAAGGAGATGAATAACAACAGGGAAGAGAGCCAAACGACAAACCTTCATGTGCATGTGCGTGCGTGCGTGCGTGCATGCATGCATGTGGGTGGGCAACTACAAGATTCCCCAGGTTTCCAGAGTTCAATGAATTTCTGCGGTTCATCTTCAAGGGAAGACGACCTCGTCGAGTTTTCGTCTTTAATATGTGTGCGTGAGAGAGAGAGAGAGAGAGTGGCTCCGGGGTTTCTAGGCTTTATCATTGACTGAAAAGTTCAAGAAACACTTGGAGAGTCGATGCAGAACTAAGATTTCATGTTCATCACTTTCAGGACTTCCAAAATGATGGGTTGCAGATTGGGGAAACACATCATGCAGAGAGAAAAAGGAGCTTAAAAGCGAGTTGTTTCTCTTTCTTCTTTTGGTAAACATCGATGATTAACTATTATTAGGCAATGCAGTTGGAAGTTTTAGAGAGGGAAAAAAGGGCACAGAAAACTCTAAGTTAAGGTTCGTTCCCAACTATTATTCAAGGATTGCTTATACATTGTCCAAGTCTCATTTAAAGCTCTCTGAGTTTTTTTTTTTAGCCTAAAAGAGAAATAGTCTCAAAATTTTGCTTAAAATCTGACATGGTATCCACTGTGAGAAAAGTTCAAGCACAAAACCTATTGACATCTCAGCAGCTCAGACTCTTGCAGCTTGTGTTGTGTCTTCCACCGAAACCCCGTTTATTTTCTGTTTGGCAAGCAGGTAGAGAAATCCCCCTCGAGTTTCCAGTTCCCGTGCAAAAAAGCACAGCCTCGACCTTGATTGCTATGACAAGCTCGGAGGATAATAAAGAATGCTAGGTCTTAGATGTCCTCTCGAGGATGAAGCAGCTGTAAAAGGAGCTTGCTGCAGCATCGAACCTTCCGCGTTATGACTTGAGGCAACCGGGTGTGCGTTGGATCGAGCAGAGAAGTCCGCAGGATAGCCGCCGTAGTACAAAGGATCCTGTGACTGGTGGGGAAAGAAGGGACTTGCTTGCCTTGGATCACAGTCGATGGTTCTCGACAATGGCATATGATCCCTAAAGATTTCAGGGTTTTTTGAGAGATCAGCCTCATTGTTTTCAGGAGCATCGTCGATTACTATTATCTCTTTGGGTAGATTGGCCGGAGAACCAGCTCTCTTGGGTTGCGTTTCGGGAAAACTCACAATTCTGACTTGATTGTGCATGGTAAAGGCGTTTGGTACATCCACCGGTTGGCACAGTTGAGTCGATGAGCTGTATCCACCATTGTAATCCCGTGCATCCGTGAAACCATTAACTAGCCTCTGCTGAGTTACAAACGCACTAGGTGGAACTTTTGCTGTCTTTGAGTTCAAAAAGCTTATAGAACTGCCCGGTGCCCCAGCGCCAAAATGCGGTTCACCCGTACCATTCAGGTCCTCACGCGTGATCTTAGAACCTTGAATAACCAGATGATCCATCAAACCATACTTTTGACTTTGACCTCCGGCACTGAGAACACCGGAATATAGCGGGAACTGCGGACTTGGATTGTTCTTCTGGGCACTAGTCGGCGACTCAAACTGCCCCAGAGGAACCGAAGCATCTTCCTCTTTGCTGACCACAACCAGGTCCTTTCCCATCAGCCTCAGAATCGGATTGGAGGCAGATGGGCTAGCAAGGTCAGAGTCACCACGACCAGGCCCATTCAATCGATCGTCAGGATAAGTAACTGGATCTCTGGAGGAGTAAACGGTAGGGGATGCTGACCTCTCAGACATGGCGCTCATGCAACCAGTGGGATTGAACGTTTCAGGCCTCCCATCCATCTGAGCCGGTCCAGCATAAGGAATCCGACCTAACTGCTTTCCCATCCCTGGAACTGCCAATGGAGCCATCATTCTCCTACTCACATGAGGTGATTCTCTATAACTCAAAGCGATATTCTGAGACAGCCTTTCCTTCCTTTGGCAACAACATGGTTGATCATCAGTTGTCGAAAAAGGAGGGCCCTTTTTAATGGATCTGTTTCCGACTCTAAGTTTCTCCGCATTTTCAGCATTACTTTCCACAACCTCAGTAGAAGCCTGTGCAGTAGCAGGTACATCTTTGACCGAAGGCTCATTACAAGTGCCCAAGAAACCCGACCAAGAATTATTTTGATGCTCATGTGGTGCTACCCGTTCTGAACAGTCCACATCTACCCTATTTTCTACAGAGTTTGAAATGGTGGATGTTGCAGAAACGGGAGAATCTGATGAATCCCCATCAACTAAATCCTGCTGATCTTGAGAAGAATGAACCTGGCTGGTAGTTAACGATGAGTTCCCTTGAAAGTCTTCCGAGCCCATAGCTCCTGGACTAGGAAGAAACGAACCTGGCGGTCCTGGAATGGGAATTGGATCAATCTCAGGGAAGGAGCTTGCTTGCCCATCCTCCGAATCCTCATCAGCTCTATCGTTCCCATTTTGCTCATTTGCACCATTACCGTCATCCTCTGCGGTAGAAAATTCTCCTCCATCTGTAAAAAGAGAAACCTTAGATGTTCCTAGGAGTCGCTGAGAGTGAGTCTTAAAGCGACTATTCATATGGTTATCATACTCAGAACTGAAGTATCTGCTCAAGCCCCAACTTGCATCCTCCATGGCCAACCCGGATGGCATGTCAGCACTATTCACATCATCGTTGACTTCATTTGGATTAGATTTTACACCATCAATTCTCTCTGGTAAACCAGCACACACTGCAAAAGAAGGCTGTATGTTCTCTCCCTCAATATCATCGAAGCAATGACTTGCTGATGGCGTACTCCTGAAAGCATTTGCTTTCTCCCTGGGTAAAGGACTTCTCCCTCCTCTTTCTTGTCCAATCACACGTTCACTAAAAGACATATCATCAAAAGATTCTTCCCCGGCAGATTGATGTTCAGCAGGATCCTGCCCTACTTCATAACGATGTTGCAATTTAGGTTGCAAGGCCACCACCTTCTCGCCCATTTCTGTAGCCAATAGCATACTTGACTTCTCAAAGTTTGAGCACTTTTCAGTCCTATTGGACTTGGAATTGATCTCAGGCGATTGGCAGAGAGAAAGCACCCTTTTTCTCAATGTGGAGAACCTCAAAGCTTTTCTTGAGAACGCACGAGAGTTCCTCGACAACCTCGCATTCATGTTGCGAGAAATGCCATAATCACTATCTGGGCTTGCATGTATTTCAAGTGTCTTGTTTCTAACAAGCGGCAACGAGCAATGTTCAGAATTGTCTTGAAGATTCATTAAGGTACTACTGTCACCAAGGGAGTTGTCCTTGCGAAACTTTCGCTTTGCTGGGGAAGGAGACCCCTCTGTAATGTCACCAGTCCTGCCACCTAACATGCTTCCCAATCTTTTTCTTCCTGGAGACTGCTCCATCTTGTCAATCATTTGAGACCCATCCAATGGCATTTCCTTCTCCTCACTCATTTGCTGGTCAGATAGACATGACGACTTCTGAAGTCCACTGTCCATTGTAAGATTATTTCCGGGGCTTGATTGACCACTTTCAACCAGTATATTCTGAGCCAGATGCAGTTGACATCTCAGAGGTGGAAAATCTCTAGTTGCTGCCTTCTTCGCTAGACCCGTTCTCTTCGAGGATGCCCATGTTCTGAGAGATCCAGAATCACCAGGTTTCATTAGCCCTTGGGATCTTGAAGTCTGTCTTTGAGATCCCACACTACCTTCTTGCAGTTTATTATGCTTCTTATGATTACCAATGACCTGTCGACAAGGATTTGCACCCATAAATGCATGCACTTAGATTTAGCATGTATATTGAATAAAAAAATTCGTAAGAGCAAGGCTAGCCGAAGCGGTTAATACGCAGAATTATCAGTTCCAAGGTCTGGGTTCAACGTTCATATTAAACCCTCCCAAAGGAATTGACGTTAAAATAAACAAGAAAGAGGAAGGAGTAAGGAAAAGGAACCATAATAATGCAAAAGAGAGAACGTTTCGCAAACTCCACATAAGATTAAAATCAATAATAGAAACAATTCTTCCTCTAGCAAATACCAGTAAGCAAGATTGAAGAATTATATTCAAGAAAAACCTGCTGTTGTCGGCGACAGTGCGTGCATGAGTGTGCTGGCATTACGTGCCAGAGAGGAGGAAGAGAGGAGGCGATAGATACAATAAAAAAGCAAGAGCGGCTAACCTGCAATTCATGTGCCTTGCGATGATGAATCTTCTTGCCCTTGGAAGAAACTTTTAGGTACTTGTGATGTTTTGACCCATGGAGCCTCCTCTTCTTTGAGAACGCCTTTCTTCCTTTGCTTCCTCTCAAAGATCTCTTCAGTCCTAAATCCTCCCGAACTTGCGAGACTAACGGAACGTCATTGAACTTGGACAAGATCCTTAGTTTAGTGCCATTGGCATCTATATACACTGCTCCGGCATCATTAGCACCATCACCATTAACCACTGATGAGGTTTTCTTTTTCCCTTCAGCAGATGGCTCGGCATCTCTAGGCAAGCATGAAACCCCGGCCCAATTTGAACCATTCCTTCTGTCAAGCTCCTCTATAGTGCATTTCGGCGCTTTTGTGTATATATCCACCATCAACTTAATCTTTCTTGGCTTAATTCTTGGCCGGATCAACTTATCAGCTGCCTGTTTAGGTGTAGACTCAATCGAGAGGCATTGATCAATGTGGGCATTTAAGGTGGTGTTGGAAGAGGATGAGAAAGTCTTGCAGACAGGGCAAACTTTGGAAGCCATCGCTTCTGATATGCTAGTACAATTTGAGGAAATATCTTCGGTTGAGCTACGCTCAGACTTTCCACCGAATTTTACTATCAAACGGCACTTCTTGCCAGACGGCTGGCTTGTGCTCACAGCTTTGCCAGAAGTAGCTTCCTTATCCTTTCGGACCGAGCTTTCCACCAAAGCGTCAGTTTCTACAACCGAGCTAGGTTGCCTACTTGTGGACACGGGCTCAATCTGTGACCCAGAAACAGCGCTTGTCGTAATTAACGGATAATCATCCTCGCCTCCAGATTTCAACGAGCTAATGTCTTTGCAGGATGGTACGGTATCGTGATTCGAATTAGAATTGACATCCGAGTCGAACGAAGGGAGATCACTGTTAGGTCTGGGACTAGGTTGTTCCCTCCTTTCCCAATTGCTTATACTTCTCTTATTGAGCGATCTGGCTTCAACCTTGCATCTCTTTGACAACTGAGTTCTCACGGTATCAGGATGCTGAAAGGGCGGCAATAGATCCTTCACACCATGCTTCAAGCAAAGCTGTAAGTTCTTGAGGGAGAAAGGCCAGTTGGTCTGAATATTTTTGCTCCTGGCTTTGAAAACATACTCTCTGCAGCAAATTAAAGAAAGGGGTCCACGTTAATACAACAGAATCCAAACATAGAGTGCCAGAATCTGAACAATCGAAAATCTTCCTTTGAGCAAATTGAAGAGAGTGAGCATCAGGCCCCAAGCTAGACTATAGTATTGTATGTCAACTCATGGAGAAATCATATGCACCATATAGAACCCATATGAACAGTGAATCAAGATACAGCCAAGAAATGCCCATATTACATCAAGAGTCGGTATCCAGCTGACTGAAGGGGAAAAAAGTCCTGTAATCTGCTCCATCGTGAAATCGGTACAAGTACAGTCTGAGAGAAGGATGGCTAAAGTGTATCACCCAGAGAAGAGCTCATGTAGAATTCCAAATGTACTAAAGTGAAGCAGAATCAACCAACCACATCCAAGGCCCAAGAGCAACGGACTGAGGATATAAAATATCAACACGATTTAAAAACACATGTATCACAAAGCTCCATCTACTGCCATCATGAGAGACGTGGATCAGTAAAACAGCCCCACAAGATCAATAAAGACCAAAAGTTTATACAAGCGGCAAAGAAAAGGCAAAAAATCTGGAACTGGGTCTGACTCAAGAAGCTCCCACATGACCTTGAGATCTATGAAAACACAAGCAGTTAGGAGCCAGCAAAAAACAGCATCAAGGTAAGACTTGTTTCATGAACAATCTTGTTCTTACAGATGAGAAGTGAAGGGAAAGAGAAAGCGTTAAAGAAGGGAACAGTTTTACCTTATAGAGAAATTGGGAGGTGGTGGGTTCTTGGACTGCAGATCTACCTCTGAGAAGGCAAGTGTGTGCGAAGTAGAAGCCCTCTCATCAAAAGAGGGGTTATTGAGGAGTGGGACTTGGCAAGGACATGGAGGATCTGGTGGAGGATTTTCAATGGATAACATCTGATGAAAAGCTTCTCCTTCCTCTAGTGCTGTTTCTCCCCCAACAGTCACAAGAATCTGCTCTTCTTCTTCCTCTTCTTCTGCTGCAACTACGTCTACTATTACTACTATCCTTGGGCCTTATCTTTAACTTTGCCTTCAGCATAACAATCGACCTCCCTTCTTCTATCTTCTCTTGTATTTACCTCTCTCTCTCTCTCTTTCTCTCTCTCTCTGTCTCTCTCTCTCTCCTCCCTTTTACTACAAAACCCCACCACAAAAGCAGACCATCTTAAACAAGCAACAACATCCCCAGAAACACAAGATCAATCAGAGAGAACCCCACAGCTACAATAATCTGCATCCACCGTCAGCCTGCAAGAGAGAGAAGAAAAGAATTAACATGAGATGATGGAGATTTGAAGAGGACCCAGAAGAGCAAGGTCGATTAGGATGTCCCAGAACATTCCAGAACGTTATTTTATGTGAAGGGTACAAGTGGATTCGACGCAACTACAGTCGATCATTGAAGCTAAAAGCCCAATTAATCGAGCGAAGATCAAGATGCGAAACGACCTAGAAGAGGAAGGCCGTGTTTTGTTAACTCACTGTGCATGAGGGAGCATTATTTCATGGCAGATGAACAAGGCAAAGAGCTCAAAATTGAAACTTTGCCGGACAAGAATCAAACAAGAGCGAAGCCTCGAGATGTTTAAGTGATTGAAAGGAGTAAGCTTTCATCAGGAAGAAGTTCCCCAAAAGAAGAAATCTCACGGGCAAAAGCAATCGTTTGGGGAGTGAAAGAGATTACACGAAAATAGAAAAACGAAGCTCCCACCATATCATCAAGAACAGCCAAAGAACGATATTGACACAGAAGAAGAGACTTTCTGAAAGATCGTGAAGAAACCCAAAAGCCCAAATTTTAACTGGGATCGCCTAACTTTGTACAGTAAGAACTGACCTGACCATGACTCGAAACCAAAACCCATCCAGTATAAACACAAGACCAAATTTTTCCTTTCCTTTTACATCTTCTTGGGGGAGAACACGAGGGACTTGAGGGTTTGCCAAGAGATTAAGACTAACGCGACCCAGACTCGAAGAGCTGATCATGAAATAACAAGTTTCGAAGACCAAGCAAAAAATGATCTCAAGATAGAGAGCAAGAAGAGAGAGAGACCCACCACAAGAAGAGAAGTAGAATAACCAAGAAGAACTAAACACAACCAGTGACTGAGTGATAGACACGGAGAGAGAGAGAGAGAGAGAGAGAGAGAGAGAGAGACTGGAGAGAGCAGATGAGATGAATCTGGAACAAACCTTTCAGCTTTTTTTTGTGTGTGAAGATCTTTTTTTGTTGGGTTTCTGAGAGAGAGAGAATGGTTTACAGAGAGAGAGAGAGAGAGATATGAGGCCTCAAAAAATAAAAAGGGGGAGGAAATTAAAAGGGGGTCCGAGTGCAAACAAAACAGTAGAGAGAGAGATGGAGAGAGAGAAACAGCACCACCCACTCACACATCAAAAGGGGCATCAGGTTCCCCCTCTTCTCTCTCTCCCTCTCCACACACCAAAAAAGCAAAGATTGTACCCAATTTTTTTCACTCCACGATTCACCTCCCATCTTGTGAATATGCGGTAATGGGGTCTTTTTATATTCAGTGTAGGAAAGAAAAAGGCAAACGAAGAGAGAGAGAGAGAGAGAATACAGAAAATCAGAATCGTGTATTCTCTCTCTCTCTCCTGTATACACCTACCCTACACCTCCTCATATTCGTGCCATTTCTTTAATCTTGATATTTTTCCTCCTCCCTCTAGCTCACACAAGAGAGAGAAAGAAGAGAAAAGAAAAGAAGGAAAGGAAAGATCTTTTTCCCCCCTCTGTCTCTTTTGCTGTTGCTTGGGGTGGAGAGGGAGAGAGAGAGAGAGAGTTCATTCATGATTGGGGTTGGGGAAAGAAATCGAAAATACCAGTTCTTGGCCCCCTTCCTTCCTTCCTTCCTTTCCTCGTTTGAATTGCCGGACATGTCCCTGCTCGTGTCCCTTGCTACACGACAAACCCCTCGCTGTCTGACAATTACCCCCACCGTGGGAAATCAAAAAAAAAAAATTTCACCTCCTTTTCTCGTATTGTTTTTACGTTTGTGTTTTCACGTTTTTTCCTTCTTTTCCCCTTTTTCATTTGCTCCCCCAATGGTCGGTCTGGGATTTGGGAGATATTTAAAAAAACGGCAGGAACGAGGAAGGATCGTGTGGAGTCAGTAGCACGAAAAGGCCTTTGCTGGTGGCAGCAGTCAGCACGGCAGGGGTCCGTCGGCATCTCCTCCTCGAGCTAGTATGTGTATACGTGTAGCAGCAGCTGTTTGCCTGTTTGGAGACTTTCCTTTTCTGCAGTTCAATCCTTGCTTCCGGTATAAATACGTCATATAGATATATCAATGGTGGTGTTAAATATGGTTTGTGTAAGAAGAAAAAGATCAATGTGTTGTCCCTGTGAAGGCTAATCCATATTGCATCCTAGTTTTCCGGGTTTTTTCTGTTGAATTTCGGTAATTTTCGAAGAGACCCGTTTACACGGCACGCGCAGTGTGTAATTTAACACGTGTTTAATCATGTCTGCTGCGACATGGATGGGAGTTAAGAAGGGTTTTTGTTCGTGGATTCGCTCGGGCCAACTAGACCCGGCGAAATAATTTAGACACGTCGAGGCATTTTTAAGCACATCTTGCATGTTTTTATAAAGGGTTTTGTATCTTAAACATACATGACGTGTCGTGTCGGGTAACTTATCTAATAATCGGGTTGTATTTCGGTCTCAGAAATAGGAGGACATGATTAATTAACACGATATAAGTTTGACAGATTCCGATTGTGTTGCGAATTGCCAGTTGTACTTCAATATGACTTTTTCCCCTGAGTTGGAGGTTGGAAATGAGCTGCCAATTTCCGTGAAATCGAAAGATGGGACTAAGTTAGTGACTAACAACTATTCGTGAGGATACAAAAGGAGTCCCACATCAGTTACAAAAAATTTCATTTTAATTACAATTACTTTATATGTAAAGAATAATCGCTCAATCGCTTAACCTGTTCTCGTAACCTACACTGGACATTGGCATGTTATGCGCTTTAGGATAATGTTACGATGCTTTTGCTAAAGGGGTTAACTCGGGCAACGACCACTGCAGCTAGGTTCGACCTGCAGTAGACGTCCGTTATCTTCACTTGGAGAAATTAGCAAGAGGGAGTCAAGTCCGAGCCCGTTAACATTTTTAGTTGGACCTACCTTCATTCAAATGTATAAGCTCGTGAATTGTGAGCCAACTAAAATATGCTAACTCTATAGACTATTCCAAATTTCCGATATGAAATTTTTTCGAACACGTGCATCCCAGTAATCTTCCTTGTGTGAGCTCCGATGTTGGGAAAAAATCCCCCTTCAATTCAAGTATCATTTGGCATCGGCTATTTCAACTTGAGTCTTCACCTTGTTGCATTTGAAGACTGCAACAGCCACAATGTGCATCTTCATCTTTGGTCTCTTTCGCTGTATAAAATCCTAATGACTGCCCTCGAGACTACTTACACCATAATGCCCACCTTATACCTTTACCCCATAGAAAATGCCAAAAAACCGCATTGGTCATGAGATTCATTCATCGGATATATACCAAACATTGGTACATATTAAAAGTGGCCCACCAATCAATCATTTTGCAGTGATACCAGGTCCGATTCGGAAAGATCATCAAGAAAGAGCTCAAGTTCAAACTCGTGAACTTATCGAGTTAGACCCACTTCACTAAAAAATTTAACCCGATGAGTTATAGACCAATTAAAATATATTAATTGCTCTCCACCACACAAAAGATGAATTATTATTTGGGAGTTCGAATTCAAGCAGATAATATGTGTGAGCATGAGCGCCTACACGCGTGTACTCGCTCACACTAGAGCGAGTTGTAGCATAATATTGTGCTTGCTCGCACTTTGCCAATAGAAGAATTATTATTTGGTCAATTCAGGTACACCTTCTCTCTCTCGACATGGAATCGTCACGTCGTAATCTTTTCGAATCATTAAACCCTAATATTTCCTTCCTTGGCATCTCCTCCATTCTCCCTCTCTTCCTTCCTCTGAGTTTCGAGTCTCCCACGTCTGAGCTCACCTCCGTTTCAAGCCGGCGAGACCTTCCAACTCGCGACCGGAGAGTTCACTGCGCTTTCAATTCCAATTACCCTTCCTATTTGATCTAACACAAGTTGCTCAGGAAAATTGGCCAAAAAGTCATAAATCTATTACACTTTTGCCATTTTATACATAAAACATTTTAATTATACCAATTGAGTCCAACTAGTCAATTTTGTCCGAAAATCGCTGACGTGGACGCTAAGCATCTTATGTGACGTTACTAGTTAGGAGTAAGCATGGTTTGGATTGAGCTGGTCCAACACCTATCCCTGATACTAACCCGCACAGTGTTGGTTCCTAATTTTTTGGACCGAGGACCAACCCTATTAAGCTTGGGACCGAGGATTGGACCGACCCTATGGGTTCGGTCCGGTTCGGTTCCAGGGTCAACCCGGGACTAACCGATTTTTTTATGTTTCATTTTTTTATTCGTTGAAAGGGCAAACGATACACTTTGAAAATACATATCCATCGACAATGCAATATTGAGTAACCAAACTATGGACCCCGGTACAAATAAAAAAAAAATCTAAGATAAGGCAACAACAAAAATCTCCACTTAATAGTATACGAACATATGAAATAAAATTAAAAAATAAAATGGTCAAAATACATAACATAAACCATGGATTATACAATTTCATATCTTGTTCATTCTCAAAAGATTGCTTCAATTTCTGAACACCTGAAAACAAAACAAACAACTTCATATCTTGTTCGTGAGGCACCGAGGCGAGCCAAGAGAGGCAAGCTGGCTCGTGAGGCGAGCGAGGAGAGGCAGATCTACCGAACAACCACAGAGAAGCAAAGGAGGGAGGGGCCTTGGATTCTTTGGAAAACAAATAAATATATTTTTATATATATAGGGTTGGTCCAATTCGGATCAACCCTAAACTCCTAGGACGGAGGACCAACCCACATAGTGCAAGGTCCAGGGGTCCCAGGATCAAAGACCAGCCCAATCCCCCTGGGAAGGTCCAGGGTCAATCCTGAACCATTGCTCACCCCTAGTACTGGTGCTAATGGAGATAATTTATATTAATATTTAATATTTTTTAAATTTATTTATTTATTATTTTTTGCCTTTCTTTCTCTTTTTTTTTTTCTACCCTTCTTCTTGCCAATAACTAGCGAGGGCGAGGAAGAAGGCAGAACAAAAAGAAAAAATAAACAATTCAAAAAATATATATCAAATCATTGTTAAATATTGTTTACATTAGCACCGACGACGCCTCGTAGGATAACCGTCCACATCAGCGATTTCTAACCAAAATTGATCGGATGTATTATATTGGCAAAACGTGAAAATGTTTATGACTCAATTGGCACAATTAAAATGTTTAAGACCGAATTGACGAAAAGTGCAATAAATTTAAAACTTTTTGGACAATTTTCCCCGAGTTGCTCCTACTAGAGTTCCAAGAACCCCACCGCCCACTTAATTTACGGGACCGAACTTTTTTACATTAATTCATAAAAACCTAAAAAGAAGAAAAGAAAGAAGTAATCGGGATGCGTACCGTTTACCAGTTCCGTCCGTGCTCAACCTCCTTGGACGCAATCCCTACTTTAAAATTATGATACGGGGCGTCGAACCGGTCATGTGAAACACATGTAGCGTAATCATACTGATTAAAATGCATATAAATACCCCTCGCCTTCGACTAGTAAGCCGTGCATGCATCTAATCATACGACATCGCACGTTAATATACTGTGCATTGCACCAATTTATTAGTCCAAGATGAAGGGTTTGCATCGTGATGAGAAGGAACAGATCGAGGACTCAAGTGTATTCTTCCAA